ATTATAAACAATCTATGAAATTGAAAATGAAAAGCGTGGGGCGCATGTAATACACTTGAATTGATATGAAAAGTAATATATGAATGTATGTATGTGGGTATATGAATAACGACCGCTTAAAATCGATTTCAAAGTTCTACTTTCGCTGTAGAAATTTTAGGTCTACGTTATGTAGTTTGACTATTGTCAATTAAATCGAATGCTTTGTATTGCATGCGCTCCACGCTTTTCATTTTCAATTTCATAGATTGTTTATAATGACTTTTGCTAAAATTTCAAAATCAAAAGTTATCAAAACAAATTCTATGGGACTGAGAAGTATTATTTTCTACTTTTTAGTCCATTTATAAAAGCGTTGTATATTAAAAAGTTTTTTTTTATATTATTTATTTATTTTTATTTTTTGTTTGTTCGTAGGAGAGGGAAATGCTTTATGCACTGGCACTAATCTCTATACTACCTTCCCTGAGTATGGGACTCGCACCGAAGCGTGTTGGGCTACCCACTAAAACCCAAACTCTTGCCGCCCGTGCAAAAATCTGGCACCGCAATTCTGCATGTCTTCAGATGCAGGAGGGCGCTGCTGCAGGCTCGGGGCTGCCCTTTTGTAGGGGCGTTTCATCCGGGTGTCCTCAGTAGATATCCGTCCTCTCGTTTGCAGCGGAGTACGAATTTATTTTGCTTTAATTGAATTGAATTTAAATTTATTTTATTTTATTTTAGCTAATTTAATTCAATTAAATTTTATTTTATTTTACTTTATTTTTTATTGTATTTTATTAAACCTTCATTTTTTATTTTGCTTTAAGTCAAATTTCTTTTATTTTACTTTGTTACATCAATTCTAATTAAGTCGTTCTAATGGCTTCAATTTTTTTATCGAAAAGTATTTCTTGTTTGCTGTTATTTTGGCCGTTTTTATTAAATGAACTCGTTTGAGTTTTAGGTTTTACTAATGCGGTTCTAATAAATCGGCCATAAATAAAATTCATTCCCGACAACATACCAATAATTAAGCTTGTTTCTTACAAAACAAAAACAAATTAAAAGTTCTAGGCTAATGAACCAACACAATTCGGCGCATGCTTAACGAGAAACCTGTTTCGATTTTCTCTTTCATTCGTCTTTCTATTTGGGATTTCTTCTATAGAAAATAAAATAATTATCGCCAGCCAAAGTTGATCAGAATCATTTCACTTTTTCGCAATTTCATAATATCATCATGATTTAACTAGTTATACATACCTAGTTGATTTTGTTTATGAGCACCCATGGTTCTTTTAATTTTATTTTTTTTACACTCACTCACGTATCATCGTCCGCTTTCAAAAACCAATCGTAGTCGCCATAGTACTGGGCGTATACGTAACGAAATCCTTGCCGCACTTTATGCCAAAGCAAATCGTATGTATCTGATGCACTTTCGACGACCGACACAGCGCCTAATTTCACATCCGTTTCACTGCTGAGGAAAACGAGGCGTGTACAACGCTTACCCCAGGTGGCTTTCACATGTGCGGCGTGCGTTTCATGCTGGGCAGGCGTAGTCAGAACCATACAGAGCACGCGCACCTCCTCTATCAAGTGCTGTTGCAGTGTATTGGAATTGTTCTGGGGTCGGTGCGATGTGCTGATGCTGCTACTATGCCAGTTTTCGGTGATCGTGCTGTGCTGCCGCGTTTGTGCCGCTTGCAGTAGGAAGTGGTCATAGCAGAGTAGAGTAGTGAGCGCCATAAGGAAACCGAGTACGTAGCCGTAAAGGAATTGCAATTGTTTTCTTAAAAGGTTAAGAGGCTCTGAAAGAGGTCGAAAAAATTCAATACGGATAATGTTTTTGAATACATTGATGAGATATATTCGTATCTAAAAGTACATATCTTTAAATTCATATATTAATTAGGTACCTTTGATTTTAATTTTCGGATAATTTTGTGCATAATTTTTAATGAAGAATGTGGAAATAAATCATATTAGAAATACGAAAATTTATAATTTAATATCGCCGTCGTTTGAAATGTTTTATGCACTCGAATACTATACCTGTACTTACTTTCCGACAACTTAACGTTCTTGTTTACTGTTGCGCATGCCCGCTGCATCTCTATGAAACCACTCATTGCCTGCGGTCCGATGTTGCCTTAACCTAGCACTTTGCGGTACTAACGTTACGAAACTCTGTTCAGTACTGGAAGCAACTCTTCACTTTAACCGCAACTGTGTAGCTTAAAACCGCGCACAGCGCTTACGCCTTCAACAATTAGTCGCCCATCTCCAGCGGCCTGCGGTCGTTTTGCCTGTAGCATTGTCAATTGGTTTAATGACCGGTTTGTGGCTGTTTATCTGCATGTCGTTTCTTTTTTTGTTCATTCAAAATTATTAACTGTCTTCTGTCTGTTGTGTTGCTAATTCTTACTCAGTCCCCGCTCCCACTGCTGTTTCATACATAAGTAGGGGTAGCCGACATCCGTGTGTAAATGTAAACAAACACGAACGCAGTACGTCCGTCCGCGTCTTTCTTGCGTTAAAATTTATTTTACCGCTGAAGTAAATTTGAATTGCATTTTTTAATGCTACATACTAGAGGTATACGCCGCCGAGCCACGCTGCCGCCGAGTTACGAAAATATCGGCGCGGCGGCGGCGGCGGCGGCGTTCGGCGCCTAAGGAATTTTGTACAAAATTTTCATGATGTATGTACATTGAAATACATCGTTTGAAGGAACTAAATACTACTCGTATAAAAACACAATTTTACGAAATGAAAATAACATTTTAAAGGAGTTTTTTTTGCATAATTTGGAACACTGGATAAGAATATGATCTCCTTTATTTTTCCAAAAAGAGCGTAAATCAGAAAAAACATAGGTAACCTGATTTTCGATCGAAATCGTTTATTACAGTTAGATTAGGGTCGAATGCTGGTAATCTAGCAATTTTTTTTCGCAGTAGACAACTCTTTCCAATACTACAACAATACTATTATTTTATACACATACTACAACAACCAGAAAGTTATAACCAGGGAACGGATTTTATGGAAATTGCCTTTTTTTCTGCTAAAGAGATAGAGTATATTCGATTAACAATGTCCACGATTTAGATTTCCGATTCCATATATACACATTTGATGTTGCCTTTTTTGCCTTTTTTAAGGTATTTGCCTTTTTTTGCCTTTTCTACCTTTAAAAAAGTGATTATAGCATTTACAATTTTTTTTAAGATTAAAAAATATGCACATGCCCATGCGGCTTATAGGAGCGCAGGGACCTCTTGGCAAATTGGTGTTGGAAAAATTCAAAGCCGTTTTCTCAGCTAACGTAGGCTTGGAGACAATAAAGGGTGTAGATAAAATTGTAAAAGGCGAGGAAAACGCCCTTATTCCTGATAATATGAACGTTTCAAACGTTCCATATTTAAATTGGGCTCCACTTGTATCAACTTACGTCGAGCGCACATTAAGTACATTCAAAGCTTTTCTTCGCGAAAATCGAATGAAAATGCTGCCAGAAAACTTCAAAACGCATCTTGTGGTTCAATGTTACCACAACTATACAGATTAAAAATTTATGAGTTAGAAACTCGAAAGGATAAAATAGTCAAAGATTCAAAGTACAAATTTTTCATATAATGAAACTACTTCATAGTTTTTCTCTTTTTACTTGTAATATAAACATTTCTAAAATAAATGTATTTTTTGATTGTTCTTCGTATTTTCTGTCTTTTTTAGTGCCTTATTTTGCTTTTTTTGTAATAGCTAGTGCCTTTTCCTGCCTTTTTCGCTATTTTGTTTTGCCTTTTTTTGCCTTTTTTGCAATACCTAGTGCCTTTTCCTGCCTTTTTCGCTATTTTATTTTGCCTTTTCCAGCCTATTTCGTTATTTTATTTTGCCTTTTAGGTCCTAAAAATCCGTTCCCTGGTTATAACACATCAAATACTTTAACGTCAATATCTCAGAAAGCAGTTTTGGCAGAAGCAGCTTCTGTTCATCTAACTCACCCATCTAACTCTCCAATTATTAGGGATAAAACAAATACAAGTTGATTTTCCTAAGTATTTTTTTTTTTAATATTTTAAACAGACTTTCAATAAAGAGCAAACACTTTTTTTTTGTTACTTTTTACATTCGTAAGGTATTTTATTCTGGGTTCCCACATACGTATACGAGTACTAGGTGGATGTGCAAAAATTACGTTAGCATTCCTTAGTGGTGGTCAAACCCCAGGAAGGTTTTGCTCCCTCGCAACGCAATGTTTTCTACAAAGGATTAAAGTTCCCCCTTTTTGGTAAAAATTAGTTTTATTTTTCATTACATTCGATTCTCCTTAGAAAATTTGGCGCCTGGAAATTTTTACCATCTCTAAGCCATTTTTTTAAACAGTGGGTCTGGTTCGAGTTGATGGAAAAAAGTAGACCAACCTTGTTTTCAATATGTAATCCGCAAAAAATCATAAGAACTCCGTAATTTATCATAACGGTTGATAAGATTATTGCAAAAATTTATTGATAGCGACATAAATTACCCCAATAACTTAACTTTAAAAACTTTTTAATTTCTTTAAATTTAATTAGTACATACGGCTCTGTAGACAGCATACAGAGCCATGTGTGTATGGATGTGTATACCTCAGACCTTCTGTTCGCCCATTCATCAGCGTCAGGCACTCAACATTTTAATTCAAGTAGGAAGTAACGTAATTTAAATTTAAAACTAATTCAATGAATGAATTAAATAGAATTATAATCTGAATTGGCATGGTGAATGCCTAACGCTGACGAGATGACATGATAAGATTAGTAGCCTCATGGCTCTTTGGAATCTACCTTATGGGCAGTAGCGCCGGCGTCGCCGCCGCTGCCGATTCTTTTTGAAGTTGACCACGCCGCCGCCGCAAAGCCTGTCGGCGTAAACCTCTACTACATAAGTACATATGTATATTCATGCATACATAATGTGACCAACCGCACTTCTTTCGGAAGTATCTCCAGTTCTTCTTTTTGAGCCGTTGTACTTCGAACTTAACAGTACCGTCAAATGTACTTATGTGCAATTTGTTTTGTATTACTCTGCAGAAAAAGATTATCCATTGATTAAAATAACCAATTTGTAGTTAGCTTTTTTGCGGGATTCCGATAAATAACTAAATTTTAATTATCAATGTTAAGTTAGTTGTAAATAGTGATGTGCTGAGCCGATAGTTTGAAGTATTGATCGATACTTGGTACCGTTTTAAAAAGTATCCAATACTTTTGATACTCGGAACCGAAACGTTTAGGCTTCCAATAAGAACGTATTTAGACTAAAACTAAAAGCGGTTTAGGAGAGCCTAGCCTATCAACAGCAAGCGTAGTGGCTAACAAAGGTTTTAATTTCTATTTTCCATCACCACAATGCAGAGAAACTCTTCCTTATTTTTTTCTAGATAAATCGGACGATGTTGTCTTTGTAGGCCTGAAAGACTTCCTTCTTCCGTCAGAACAATTTTCTTAAATTTTATATCTACGAAGGTGGAAACTGATAAAATGGTATTTTACTGTTGCGACAAGGCGATGAGAGTATTTTGGATATGTGGTGTCTACATTGCTTAGTACAAATTGTTCAACTTTTGGGAAAGCATCTTCTTACTCGTATTAATTGTGAAGCATATTCATAGTCGAAAGAAAGTTGATGTCACTTTTTTGACAGATATTCTATTGAAAATTATGTCAAAAAGCTCCATTTATGTTATTATTGGGTACCGAAAAGGAAGTATAGGGTACCGAAATCTTTCTGAAGTATGAGTACCGGCAACTCAGCACATCACTAGTTGTAAAGTCGTGCAGGACTCATGCATACGTTATCGGGAGTTTGTTTTCTTTACAAGCTTCCATTTCAATATCCTCATACAAAAATTACTTTCAATGCAATTTATTTTCTGCACTTGCAGATTCTTTGCCATATTCAGGACAAATAAAATAAAGGACGAAATTTTATATTATCATTTTGATGTTACGTCTGATCAAATTCAAATATGAGAACACCTACAAAAAAACGTGTACACAAATAAGCAAATATGTAATGTTAAATAAAATAAGTAAATAAATAAAAATATAAGAAATTTAAAAATTCTTTTTTATACCCGAGCGCACTTGTGCACAAGGGTATATTAATTTTGTTCACATAACGGTTGTTTGTAACAGCCAAAACGAATCGATATAGATATAGACAAATGTATACATAAATGATCAGGATGAAAAAAGAAATCGATTAAGCCATGTCTGTCTGTCCGTCCGTCTGTCCGTCCGTCCGTGTACACGATAACTCGAGCAAAAATTGAGATATCTCAACGAAATTTTGTACGTAGGTTTCCCTTAATCCAAGGTAGGTTGGTATTGAAAATGGGCGAAATCGGACTTTAACCACGCCCACTTACCATATAACGGTAATTTCCAGAAATACGAAAACTGCGATATTTTAGTAACTAATGAAGATAATTCACTCAAAATTGATATTTATAATAAGTTTTAGACGAAAAATAAGAACATTATAAATTTTTGGAAAATAGGCGTAGCCACGCCCACTTATGGTTACATGTGTATACCTTGGTAACCGCTGCACCAATTTCTTCCAAACTTGGCACAGTTGTTGGCCTTCGCACAACATACCAAATGGCCGAAAATTTTTAAAATCGCTCAATAACCACGCCTACTTCCCATATAACGGTAATTTTCAGAAATACGAAAACTGCGATATTTTAGTAACTACTGGAGATTATTCACTCAAAATTGATATTTACAATAATTTTTAGTCGAAAAATAAGAATATTATAAATTTTTGGAAAATGGGCGTAGCCACGCCCACTTATGGTTACATGTGTATATCTTGGTAACCGCTGCACCAATTTCTTCCAAACTTGGCACAGTTGTTGGCCTAGAGAAATACAAAATCTTCGATAAATCAGTAAATATTGGAGCTAATTTATTCAAAATTGATGCTTGCAACAATTCTTTACCAAGAAATACGTTTATGGTAAAATTTTGGAAAATGGGCGTGGCACCGCCCACTTATGATCACATATTAGTATATCGGTAACCGTTCTACCAATTTGTACCAAACTCGGTGTGGTTATTGTGCTTGCCACATATAAGCACAACGTTGAAAATTATTGAAATCGGACTAAAATAACGGCCGCTTCTCATATAACGGTAAATTTCAGAAATGCTTGAAACTTCAATATTTCGAAATTGAAGGACGCTAATTTACTCAAAATTGATACACCCCGGCTTACCATCTAGCGGAAGGTTTCGGAAAGGTGAAAAAAACATAT